TGTGCAGGTGTATAACCAGAGACCCATATGAGATCGAAACAAAGTTGATGTGTTAAAGAATTTGCTTCAAATATAGACAAAGCAATTAGGGTGCATGTCTGACAATTGCAAAATTTGGAAATTGCTATTTTTAAGTCAGTGTGAACTCAGATATTTTTGCCCATCTTTCTAAAAGATTATTTCAGCTAGGTAAATGGTTCAATCAACTTTCACAAGCATTTTACAAATACAGATGCTATTAATACGTCACAAATACAAAATATTGCAGCCAAGAACCAAGGACACAAGATGGGCAATGGTCATTGGCTGTAATGCCAAACTCTCGCACAAACAGAGGAAGAGGATTTTACGGATGCATGTGTAATGGGCCAAAGAGAGAGAGAAAAAGAGAGGCAGCAAGACAATCATAGGTATATTGATAAAGGCCTAAGAAGGACCAAACTTACAAAAGAAATAACAGAAGTACAGCAAGGCTTGCACATGATGCACATTTGCTTCTGAGTACAATAAAAAGATAAATGCAATTGGTCCACAAATATGGCCACTCTAGATTTTAGCACCTGGAAAAATATTTTTTCAGTGAAGTTACAGAGCAACTTTCAGTTTCAATTTTGTCCAAAGAGAACTAATCCAAAAATGTTATAGGATTCATCTACAAATCCACAATTTAATTTTGAGGATGCAAATTGTATTAGGATGATAAAAATATTGACATCCTATGGGAGTCTATGGGGAACTGGAAAAATACATTCTAAATTCTATATATGGAATTTGGAATGGATTGTGCCAATTCCATATAGAATTTCACATGAGTTCATTTTTTATCATTTTTAGGATAATTTTTACCATCTTCTACTTGGATTAAGTGTGAGTTTGCAAATAAATTCTATAAAAATTTTGAATTTGTATAAAATATGGCCTAAAGTTTCTTTTGACTTTTATAAATAGTTTTAGTAAGGCATAGTCTATAGACTAAAGAAAATCATCAGTAGAAAGGAAATATGACTTTCTTATAAAACTATAGATTTTGAAGAAAAAATAATAATTTTATTTTTCACCCTTTATGTTGTTACATTTAGGGTATTTATAAAATTCATATCTACTGATAAAGAAATTTTTATTCTACTGGACTTCTAATAATATGAGATTATTATTCTCATAAAGTCCTAATTACATAATACCAACTAATTAAATAATAAATTAAAATAATTAATTAATAAAATATGGTACCAAACACCCCCGCATCAAGTTGGTATAAGGATATCTCTCATGTCTAACTTACAGACCAAGCTCTAAAGAACCATCATGCAG